GATTTCAGCATGGCAAAAGCAATGGCAGGAGTACATTAAGCAGCAAGCTAGGCTGAAGATCCAAACAGAGTACAATCCTGTGAGAAACCAGTGAGATTATCTAGGGACTTTGAGGAGACAGGTTGGGCTCCCTTCTCTACTGGCACATCAGATGTGACTCCTGGGGAGTCAGGGCAGAAGGAATGCTGTGGAACAGATGGACATATGTTGCATCCCAGCCCTGATGCTTTTACTTGCTAAAGCTATGAGTCCTTTGGGAGGACCAGAAAAGCACCTGGTTGGTTCTTACCAACCATGTTCTGGTCGCCCTGGGGAATAGCAGAGCAAGCGACTGGAAAGCTGGGTCACAGAGACAGACCACAAGACAGACAGACAGCATGCTCAGGGTGGTACAGACAAAACAGCAGTGTCCTGAGCAGCTGCCTAATATGTATCTTGGCAAAATCTCGCCTGGCTGTGGATGAAGCAGAAATCGCAGGCTGGAATCGTAAAGACATCAGTTGGTCTGACTTTTTTTCCCTGGCCTGCATGCTGAATGCAGCAGGAAAGTGATGGGCTGGTGGCACAGAGTATCTGCCAGGAGCCACTTGGAAGAGTGGATCCTTCAACTGATGCCAGCTGCTGAGTATGGAGCAGTCAATGGGCAAACACTGAAGTGGGCTGAAAACAAGCAGATGCCCTTCAATGGCTGTGGTCATTAAGAGGCATGAGTAGGTGCACACTAAAACCCTGTGCACATCCTTTTAGAAGCAACACCACCACTGCAACACATCCACTGTGCTAGGTCCTACACTGGAGCTTTCTCCAGGCCAGCACAGCATAGCTGGCCCTTGCTGGGTTGGATGGAGAAACATCCAGGTAGGACCCCACATATCCTCCTAAGAGTTGTGGCTTCATTATTTGAAACATTGCACAAGGATATTGCTGAACATTGGCATTGACTTATCTAACATCTGCTTCCAAACAGAGCCATCGTCAGACTGTATCTTCTCTCCTAGCCAGTTTACCCTGTGATTTTCTCTCTTTATTGATCCTCAGGCTTAGTGTAGGTTTTTACCCTTCCCTCCAATCTTGAGGGCCTGCTGGTTGCATCTGGCAAAGTGGATGAGTTCCTCATGTGCATCAGTGGCTAAGAGGACTCTGAGGTCATCACCATAGAGAAACATCCTTGCCTGGGGGTATCTGTATTTCATTGAACGGACTCATAAACAGAAGCATTTTCACATGCTTTGAGTGGAAAGGAACTATAAATAAAAGATATTACAGACTACCAAGTTCTCAGTTGCAAAATGAAGTGGGAAAGAATATTTTAGCATCCACTTTCTAGGCACTTTAACTATTGGCAGACATGATCATTCAGGTCCTCAGAGCTGAAAACTTCACAAAGCGTGCTGTATGTCGGGTCCACACACTCCATCTCCAGCTTCAATGGCTCTAAAATCTACTCTGACCTATGCTATTCTCCTCATGCACAGGCAGCATCCAAATGCTGTGTCACTTCAGGGGTTATGACAGTAAACCTACACTACATGGTGATCTTTTCCAGGAAAAGTGGGAATCACTGCTGCTGTAAGTTCACAATAGATGGTGCCTAAAGATTGTTATTAACTGACTTCTGATGTCTTCCTTCCCAGAGCAAGCAAGCACTTTGTATCAATCTGGCTTGCTTTAGTGCAGTGACCCAGCACTATGCTCTGCGGCTGAAAGTTCAGGTCCCAGCTGTGGGGCTAAACTCTTGCTGACACTGTGCTGATTTCTCTGTCTCTGTCACCCACACTACCAACAAGGATAGGTGCAGGAAGGGAGCAGATGTTGTTTTTTCCAGGCTGAGACAGAGAAAAACAACAACAATGACAAAAACCCTCTGCAAAACAGACAGAAGGTGCAGCAAAGGAGAATGGGGACAAAGTGATGCCAATGTGTTCTGTTAGGTTGAAAGCAGGAAATCCTTTGGACAGCATGGGGCAGTTCATTGCTTTCTTCTTTTTCTTTCTTCTGCCAGGCAGAAGATCTTGGTGGAGAGGCAATTAAAATGTTATGAGCAAAGAAAAGCGTCCTCTTTTAGGATGCCTTGAAGAACGTTTGTTTGTGCACATTCACAGGGAGAGACGTGCATGGGAGAAATCACTATTTAGTGATGAGTGAGCTACTAAGGATTTGGTAGTTTATTTTGGATGGGGATCCACATGCAGATGGTTATCTAAAGCCCTCAGTCTTGAGAGAAGGGCTGGAAATATCTTAAGAACAATCCCTTGTTGTATGATTTCCAGTATCTCTCAGAGTTGTTGCTTATGCCAAAAATACCACGAAAACAGTTTTTTTTTTGTTGTTGTTGTTGTTTTTTTTTTTTTTTTTTTTTTAATTCTTTTTCTTTTATGCAGCATTTTGGCTCTTCTGCTTCTAGTTCCAAGCAAACCTAAAACCGCAAAGTCTTTGACTTTAAGGTTGGACTGTGCTTATTTAATTTCAAGCCATCTTGGTTCTCATGACTGCACGCATACAAGGGAAATAAGGAAAAATGATGCTGATTCTATGGAAACCTTTAAAAGAAAAGACACCCTGAAAACTGATGTGAGAAACAAACAAACAAACAAAGAAAAAAAACCCTGTCTTCCCTAAGAAGACTACAAGCTTCATTTCTCTGGTCTTAAGTAAACTACTTATCTGTCTAGTCTTGCTATAGATAGCATGCAAGATCACAGCATTCCCAATTCAAATGAGCCTGTTAGCCTTGGGTCATTATTAATCAGTAAATACTATTGAATCAATAATCAAAATAAGGACTTTGAAGAGATCCTTGTTTCCCCAACCAATCTTGAAACATATCAGATCTGCAATTGACATAATTTGACAGAGAAGGAGGAAAGAAAACAGTTTGAACATGATACAGTGCTCTCCAGTTTTCTTAAATCAGAGTATAATTGAGGTAAAATAGCCTAGGGATGTTGCTATTGGGATGAAAGCCATATGCTTTACTTTAGTCTTCGGGACAAAAAGTTTTGCTTCAAGGCTGGTTTTAATCTTTGGCTGGATGTACATCAGGATATCTCAAGTAATATTGCTCAGTATGTCAGCATGCTTTGGAGGATATTGTTAGCTACCCCAGCTCCCTGGAGTAGTCATCCTTAAAAGGATAGGAGCACATCCATTGACTATATGTATAGTAAAGAATGAATGTTTTGTCTATTGAAGACCAGGTGATGTTCCCCTTTCATTGCTTCCTGTAGTTTTTTTCTACCTTTCTTATTTATTAATTACTCAAGACCCAATCTCCAAGATGTCCAAGCGGTTTGGAGATCAAGGCTCAGATCTTTCTTTAGATGGCAGAAATGATGGTAACTCAATCCATACAACCCTATCAGCAGAAATGATGGACAAAGTCAACACTTTGCACTGTGCAGATCTCCAAAACAAGAATTTAGCCTTCCATTCAACACAGCACATTCATTTCATGTGTTTTTCCACTCCACTTGGAATAATTTCTTTTGGATAACCAAGACAGATACAGGAGGCCCAGGTCCCCATTTGTGTGAACTGGGGGTAGTTCCATTCCACTCTGCATGCTGAGCTCTTTGCAAAGTCTGTTCATCGTGTCCTATTAAGAGCAGCAGGATGCTGATCATTTTTGTGAAAACTTGGCTCCTTTTCAGTGTCTTAGTTTAGATGGACGGAGGAAGGGATGAGTTTAACTTTTGGCTTGAAGGAAAGAAAGTAAAATTTCTGGACCCTTTCAAGTGCTGAGAAATCTGGCTCTGAGCTTTTCTGAAAAAGTGACCCAATCTACCTAGCCATTATACCTTTCCCTGTCAATGACTAACACATGGATTGATATTTCCTTGTAGGAAACACTGGCGAAGGACTGGGGTTCCCATTCACTCGTGCTGTTTACTGCTCCCCAGAGAGCCCAGTCTTCAGCACCGATTGAGCAGACTGCTCTGCAGGTGTAGGTTTTGCATGCCAAAATGGGTTGTAAATCAGAGCAGAGGAAGAAAGGGCTGTAATAGAACTTGTCTGTAGAAGCGACCATTGGAAAAGGATGTTGACCATGTTCATTTTACAGGTCTGATCCCCTAAATCTGCTCTTGCTCACACTGCACAAGAGGGATTGAGTCCCAGCTCAGAAATCTAAGGAGCAGAGCAATAATTTGCCAGAGAGTACACATGGGGTGAATTTGTCCCTGATCTCTGTTATTGGTTTTCAAAAACAGAAATTCTCATACCCTTTTGGACAGATGGCTGGTCCTATTATTTCTTATGTTAGATTTCCCACTGAAGCTGAAAGCAAATCCATGTTCAAGCTGAAAGTAAACAACCTGCAAATTCAAAAGGCATTAACTCTAACTGCCAAAGCATTTGCTACGTATGCCACAGATGTCAAATAGGCAGTTTCCCACAGCACTGAGCCTAGACACATAGCTAAGTTACACAGCAAAACCTTCCACACAGCCTGAAAACCCATGCTCTGCAAAACTTGCTCTCCTCTGGCGTTCTAGGGCCAGAGCCTCAGCTGGAGTGAATTAATATCTTTGTCCTGATTTGAATAGAACTGTCAATTTATACCAGATGAGAGTTTCACCCTTTGCAGTATAAGTGAGAAATAGCTACATAATACCTATACGTATATACATACATATGTATATATAAACAGCATAATTTGAGTAGAAAACTAAAAGATGATGTGTTTTAAAGGAAGAAAGAGAGCTGGGTAAGGTTCTCCCTTTGCTTGTCCGTGATTAATTTCTGAAGATATCACAGAGACTGATCCTAAAAAGTCAGGTTTTATGGAAAAATGGTTGTAAATAACAAAATATAGACATACAAATGATATTAGATATGCTACCTAATTTTGTTCTTGATACCTTCCAAAATGCTAACGAAAAGTTACTCTCAGTCCAAACATGACATCACACTGTAGGAAATCCAGATGATAAGGACTCAATAAACCAGTTTTTTGTGGTTTTTTTTTTTTGTTTGTTTTCTTTTTTTTTTTTTTCTGCCAGAGCTCTTTACAGTGGTGCCCAGTGACAGAACAAAGGATAATGGACATGAACTGGAATGCAGGAAGGTATGAATGATCACCTTTTCTTTGAACAACGTACAAAAGCAGGTGGCCCATAGGTGGTGGAATCTCCTTCTATGGAGGTATTATGAGACTGCCTGAATGCTTTATTGTAACCCATTATAGGGAACTTGCTTTATCAGAGGGATGGACTAGGGGATCTCCAGAAGTCCCTTTCAGCTCATACAGTCCTCAATTCTGCAAATGAAGAGGACAAATCCATGAAACCAAATCATATAAGCAAATAAACAAAGAAAGATACTTATATATTTGAAGTGCAATGAACATTAGAGTATTGATATCATGTTGTGCTTCTCAGTTGTAAAGATGTGCAAGGTTGTTTTTCTGATATATTAGGTTGTAAATTCCAGATGGAAGCTCTGAAATCAAATTCTGCAAATCAGATCTCTTTCTATTTAAATCAATGGAATGAATTCAGGAATTATGTCCCAAATTAAGCCTACAATATATTCTTTGCTTTAAGAGGTCTGATTCTTAGACCCAGATGCATCTTGATTTCTGCTAAAGTAAACTGGAGATCAAATAACAGACCAATAGAAATGACTCAAGATGTTAAAGATGGTGGTAATGGGAAACCAAACCACTAAACTATTTAACTTAAAGGCACTAGACTGGTGTGGCTCATCACTAATTTCACTTCTGCTTTCCAATAACCATCTCCTAATTTTCCCTTCACTATTCAGTGTAAGCAGGCAATTAACAATACATTGTCACTATTTTATAGAGTCTTCCATCTGAGGAGCTAGAAACTCTAGGTAAACATTAATGAATTAAGCTTCTTAACACTCCCTGTGAGACAGATACTGCTATCTCCTTTGTACAGATTGGAGAAGAGGTGCAGCTTTGCCAGGGGTTGGAGTGAGCAGAGGCAGAGCTGGGAGCAGGCTCTGGACCTTGAACCTCAGGCTTCCGTGTGCCTTCAGCTCTAATCCACAAGGCTTTCATTGGATGTGGGGAATATCTGGCAAATTTCAGATGATGATAATTATCTCTTGGGACTGCCCACATGCCCTGAATTTCTGACAGGCTGGAAAAATTGCAGGGTTGAGGTTCTCTCAATTCAGAGAACTTAGGTCCCACTTCCTCACTGTTCAGCAGAAACAGTAGTCCATCCTGATCAGATATAATCACCTGTGAACAGGATCCTCTGATATGCTAAACAGTAGAAAAATTCAGGAATGGGTCATTTTTTAATAGTACTACAAACCTTGAGAAACCAACACAAAGGTCTAAAAGCGCTCCCTTGCTTTTAATTGCGTATTTAAATGCCCTCATCTTTTTCTCACATAGCAGAAAGGCAAAACATTCAGCCCTGCTTGCAAGTCGCAATGATAGGAAGAACTTAAGAGTGTTTTAACAAAAACCTGAAGGTTTTGCTTCCAACACTATGAAATGCTTAGACCCTATGCAAGCCTTAGGACAAGATAGGCATTGACCAGACAAATTCTTTTTTTTTTTTTTTTTTTTAGCATAGTCCAGTTGATTTAAGAGCAGCTAACGTCTGTTGTCTATTTGAAGAATATTTCCACATAGCCCTTCTCCAACTGCATGGAAATCAGACAATTTCCATGATGATTCTTCTGTCTAAAAATACACATCTCCCCCTCTCTTCAATTTATCACCGAGCCAGTCAGCCTGTTTATTGTTGAAGTTTTGCCCATTTAATAGTGCACTTAGGAGAGCTTAATACAAACATCGACCAATTCATTGTCACAAAAAGAAAAGCCTTAGAAATCATCCATCTAAGCAGGAGTCAAGAAGTAAGAATCTCTTAGTTAGAGATCAGTCAATAAGAAACTCTGTTATGGAAGCTATTCTAGGCACACCAGATTCAAAAAGGGGGACAAGAATAAAAAAAATAAAAAAATATTTTATTCCATAAAGACAAAAATGATGAGAATAGCATGTGAACTCTTTGTTTGTTGTTTTTTTTTCTTTCAAAATTTACTTGTGAACTTATATCCCAGAAATGGGGAACTGTGAAAGAATCAAGCATTTGACATATTCAGCATGCTGATTTGTGAACTATTAGCAGATTGCTATTTGCCTAAAAATATGTATTTGAAATTCCTTTCTAAAAACTCTTCTTGATCTCTTCCCAATTCATGAGCTGTTAAATGTGTGTACAACACGGTAATGTTTGTCTCCTGAACAGAGGGACATTACAATCCCTAGAAGCAGGTTTCCTGTGGGAATATTAAAGGCAGTATTCAGGAATATTCCCCAGTATTCGTGGCCTCCACAAACACTCCAGCTCAAAAACATGTTTGCTGTAATATTTGCCAAGAGCAAACAAGATGGAACGATGGAAGAAAGCGCACAAAGTCTGACCAGGCTTATAAAAACCCAACAGCTAATGAATACTTGTGGAAAATGTCTTATGGTATTTCCTCAGCTGTGGATGCTAATTACGAAAGACCATAAAGCTAAAACTCTTTTGCTGCCTACCTCTTCATCTGATCCAGAGCTGGAAGGCATTTCCATGGGCCTCCTTATGATGTCCATCCCCTTTACATCTGCTGAATCCAGAAGCAGTGTTTTAAACTTTTGTGTGCATATCAAATAGATGAGGTATGAGTAACTGGACAGAGGCCCAGAAATTCATTTCTCTTAAGCTGCTTGATGGCTAACAGCTTTTCTCTGTCTCTGACTAAAAACAAAACAAAACAAAACAAAAAAAATCTACAATAAATTTGAGTATACATGTAGATTGGTGAGTTCATCTCATTGCCCAGTGTCAAATCACAGAATTACAGACTGATTAAAGTGGAAAGGGACCTCTGTGTCTAACTGGTCCAACACGACTCCATCAGGGACACCCAGAGCTGGTGTCCAGGCCAAATGACTTTTGGAGATCTCTACAAAGGAGACTCCACATCCTCTCTGGAAATGTGTGTCAGAGTTCTGCTAGCACAGTGTCCCATAGCAGTATGGATCCTCTTTTCAGCACCTGTCAGTGACAAAACAGCTTGTTGATTCAATCTTTTATGAACAAGCTCAAAGAAACACAGCAAGCTCTTGTTGCCATAGGGCACTGGCCCAAAAGCACACATCTGGGAAAAGAAGGAGAACTCCAAGCAAATCCAGTGGGCACTGTCAAGTCTACATGCCTGGGTGCTCAAGGGTGGTGGCTTGTCTTGGTGGCTCAGCCAAGACAAAATCACATTGTACTGGTTATTTATATATATTTTTAAATAATAATGAAGAAAAAAAAAAAAGCAAACAACCTCAAATCCAGAATTTTTAATTGACACTGGCCCAAGCAAGCATTTTTAATGTATATATTTTTAATGACACTAAAATGAACTTGCTTGATGAAAAGCTTGTGTGAGGAAACAGTTCGTTCTTTGCTAAAAGTTATAGTTTACAAATTCTTCTCATAAAGACACAGTTTAGTTTGGTGGGGCTACTAACAACATCATATGCCATACTACTGATTTAATATAGCCTGGTCTGTGCTCAGGGACAGGCTAAATTTGAACATGGGCTCCTCAAATTGCTATTGCGATGTTGAGGCTCGACACTGTACCTTGTAACTCACCAGTGTATCTGTTTTTCAGTAATGCCTGATGCTTCCCATTCGCCTGACTAATAATAATAGCCCCAGTACATTTTCTGAGCACAATTTACTGATGAGTGGTATCTGTAAGCGGTCAGTACTAAAACCGATGCTCTTTAATATCTTCATCAATTACATCAACAGTGAAATCAGTGCACCCTCTCAGCTTTTCACAGATGACTCTAAGCTGTGGAGTATGTTAGATACATCTGATGGACAGGATGCCATCCAGAGAGTCCTAGATAGACTTGAGCAGTGGGCCTAGTGGATGGCAAGCTGAACATAAGCCGGAAATGTGCCCCTGCAGCCCAGAAAACCAATGGTATCCTGGGCTGCATCCAAGGCAGTGTGGTCAGCAGGGTGAGGGAGGGGATCTTCCCCTCTGTTCTGTGCTGTGAGACCTCATCTGGAGCACTGTCCAGATGGGGAATGCTCAGTGCAGGAGAGACATGGAGCTATTGGAGCATGTCCAGAAAAGTGCCACAGAATGATCCAAGGGATGGAACACCTCTCCTATGAGCACAGGCTGAGAGCTGGGGCTGTACAGTGTGCAGAAGAGAAGGCTGCAGGGAGACCTGAAAGTGGCCTGTCAGTATCTAAACAGGGCTGTAAGAAAGAAGGGGACAGACTCCTTAGCAGTGTCTGTTGTTGCGGCAGGACAAAGGGAAATGGTTTCACACTGAGAGAATTTAGACTACACATAAGGAAGAAGTTTTTTGTAATAAATGCAGTGAATCACTGGCATAAGTGGCCAAGAGATGTGGTGGATGCCCCATGCCTGGAGACATTCAAGTTTAGGCTGGCTGGGGCTCCAAGCATCCAACTGAGCTGTAGGTGTCCCTGTTTGTTGCAGGGGATTGAACTGGATGACTTTTAAATAACCCTTCCTATTCAAACAATTCAATGGTTCTATTTTATGAAAAAGATTTTTGCTCTGCTGTTCATTCAGCCAGCGCTATTAATGACAAGACAGACTTGTTCTCTTTTCTTTAAGAAAAAGTAAAACCTACTGCACTGCAAATGGGCTTTTATTTGACCAACTCCACCTATTAAATGAGTACATCATTCCTAATGTTTCTCTCTCCTGGAAGGTAAGGGAAGGCAACGGGGCATCCAGAATTTTTACACGCTGTCCCTTCCAGTCATGCATTGCTACGGATGATACAGTATAACACGTCACTTACCTGCAAAGACATTGGAGAAGTAATGAAATCAGCAGATATTCCATCAGCAGGCTTTTAAAACATTGGTATTGCAATCGAAGATGCAGTCAGCCATTGCATGCACATGCCCTTTATTTATGGAGCTGATAAGGGCTCTGTAAATAAATCTATGGGGCTCTGTGTCAGGAATAGTCACACCTCTTTTTTACCTTCAAGCCTTATTTTAAAGCCTTACTTTCTTATTTTAAAGAAAGATGCTGTCT